GGTTGACATGTCTTGGGGTTGTTAACCAATGTCATAAAACAATATGTGTACTACCGTTTCATGAGAAACTATTTGTTTTGTAAACCTTCACCTGAAGTACAATAAAAAATTAAATAAAAAGAGAGGATAGAAGATAAAAGAAGGAAAAATAACAATAAATAGTGGGAAGTATTTTCTCCTACTTCTCCTACTTGAATGAGAATATGACCAATACAAGTGTGAGCTGAGTCAGGAAACTATTCTTTTTCAATGACTCTTATTTCCCAGGTGACTTTAATAGTGTTAAAAATCTCACAATCCTGAGTGTAATTTTAGTGTTTAAAGATACATTTCATTTTAAACAACATTCATCTCATGTCCTCAACAAGACTGATAGCTTCTATAGCATAAGGGGAAAGGAAAGGAACTGTAGCTTACATTTCTCATAGCCAAAAAACCATAGTAGGATTTCAATACTTAATTTGTGAACGTATCCTATATATTATTGACTGAGGGTTCTAAGTGAGAACTCCAAACATGCAGTTTTTGTGGCTTTTATGCTTCATTAACTTGTTTCATCTACTATTGTGGAACCAGATTCAGTAGGGAGAACAAGGACAATGTCGATCCTTACTTATATATGCCCTTTGGAAGTGGACCCCGAAACTGCATCGGCATGAGGTTTGCACTGATGAACATGAAACTTGCTGTCACCAGAATTCTGCAGGAGTTCTCCATCAAACCTTGTAAGGAAACACAGGTCAGACAGTAAATTCTCTTCATTAATATTTTATTGTGAATGTTTTAAACTGAGGGATCTTTATCAAAAAATATGCTCATTTCATGTTTTATTAAGTTGTGCCATTTGCCATAGAATGTACTTAAAGTTGTCTATGATCTTTCATGTCCTTTCAGTTCTGGAGTTCTATTGTGTGACTTTGTAAAGACCAACCTATAAAGATTAATTAGAGTCAATGCAGATAAGTGTGATAGGATTAGATGGAGACCATTTAAACTACAGAAAAGTTTTAAGTTATCATTCAAGTCAATTTGGAAGATGAAGAAGTGTTGTCCATAATCATGTTGCATATTTATGGCCTTCTCCAGACTTTTGAATGATGCTCGGTTCCAGCAGATTTTACAAAATCTCCCTTGTGACAGTGGTTCTCAACTACCACCTGTGTACCGAAATAACTGTGAAACTTAAAAATTCCTGATGCCTGGGCCATCTGAGAAATTCTAGTATCATTAGCCCAGTGTGGTTTTAAAGGCTCTCACCCATTGATTCTCCTGTGTAACATTGAGAGCAACTGATTCAAAGAACGTTTTTCTGGCAGACTGAAGTACTACAACAATCCACAGCCATCCTTGATAGTTCACCTCCCTTTCTCTGCTCCTTATCTCTGCTCCAGATAAGCTCTGCTTTTTTGACAACCTGGTATTAACTCTGCCCAGAGGGAGTTTGAGACAGTTTCCATTTTATTTGCGGCCTTAGGGCAGCTGTGTAGCAGTTTTGTAGGTGTGTACAAAGAGGCGACTCAAAGATGAGAGAAAGCAGACTTGTGGCACACCTGGGATGGGGCAGAATCCTCCCTGGCCATCTCCCAGTGAAGGATCAGTGCTACTGACATTCCACCACAATTTGCTTGCCCTTCACTCAACTAAGATCAGAATTTAACAGTGTTGGTTGTGCCAAAAATGAAGTGACAGTGCCACAAGGAACTCCAACTACTAGTGAAAGACTGTACATCATCAGAAGTTCATAATTTATATTAGACTTGGGAGCTCAAGGAGGTGTTAGAAAACAAAGGTATAATAATCTTCTCATTATTAAACTAGGTTCAGTGAGGAGATATGACTCAACTCTTTGAATGTTAAGGAATGCCCATTCAATTAAAGTGTATAATATCTACTTATTACCTCGCAAGTTTCAGCATACACAGAATTAACTTTACATGGCTTTTCAAGAATATTTTTAAACAATGTCTAAGAATCTAGTGTAAATTTAAAAAACTTTGTTTTACTCATAATTTAAATTTAAAAGAACACAAAGTGACATGGTTTTGTTTATAAATATTTTGCTGAGTGAATGGATGGATGAATATTTTTACTGTCCTGTCTTGGCACAGGTTACAATAGATGTAAAGAGAAGGTATGATGGCAAATGTAGTGTTTTTATGTTTGTAAAGCAGTATTGTCCATACATTGTCTACTTTGCTTTTGTTTTCCTGATGCTTCATTTACTAGTTCTCAATATGCCTGTTTTACTGTTGTAGATCCCCTTAAAATTAGGCAGGAAACTAATTATCGCACCGGAAGGACCCATTGTGGTAATGTTTGAGTCAAGAGTTGGAAATGTAACTGGAGCCTGACTTTCCCTAAGGACTTCAGCTTTGTTCTTCAAGGAAGCTGTTTTCCAGATATCCAGAGACCTCAACTGACTCTGTGAATAAAACTCAGAAATAAAGATGGGCCCAACCTATTGCCCTTGATAAATAATTATGGATTCTGTCCATTCATTTAGCTTTCTTATTGTCCACGTACAGTATTATACATTTTGTAGTGTTAAGATGGTGATTAAATCAGTACCAGATGTGTAAATTTGGCTTACCTTGTTCTCTTACATAAAATCTGTCTGTCTTTCTGTCTCTCTGTCTACCTACTTACATACTGGCCTACGTACCTACCTATTTATTTAACATCTATAGCAATGTATGTGTGTACTATATCTATTTATCATCTGTTTGTTGTCTATTTATCTAGAGAAAGATAAATGCCTGAGGAGCCCAGGCATTCCATCCCCCTTATATTTGAATCATTCTAGCCCAGGCACAGACATGTGAGAGAGCTTTCAGAATACACCAATCCCAGTCTGTTTGCAACCACATTGGAGACCCCAACCATGAAATGCCCACCTAGGCCCAGTCAACCCAAGATTCATGAGCAAAATAAAGGAACATTAGTATCCACTGCTTTTGGATAGTGTGTTATGTCACAGTAGATAACTGGAGCATCTCATCTTCACTTCAGGTACAGTAAGATGTATAGAATACAGAAAATAGATGAGAACTGGGGAAATTGGAGGAAGTAATAAGACACTGTGAATCACCGGAAACGTCAGTGAGGTTGTGGTTCAACTAAGAGGAAAGAGTGCTGAGATGTGAGCACTGGTGACCTTTGGTCATCTGGTTCAATACAGGGAGACGAATGGGAAGGGGTAGGTAGTTGATATTGTTAAGCACCTGTCTTAGGCTGGGTTCTCTAGAGAAACAAAACCAGTAAAGCCTATAAATATATATATGTAGAGATTTATATTAAGGAAACAGCTCACGAAATTGTAGAGGCTAAAACGTCCCAAGTCCGTGGATCAGGGTAGAGGCCTCTCCCAATTCACTGAGTGGCAGAAGCTGGTGAACCCAAGGTCGGCAAGTCAGAGGACTCCTGCTCACAGGCTGTGAAGGTCAACAAATTCCAAGATCAGCAGACAAGACTGCAAGGTTTCTCCTGATTCACGTAGCTCCAGGGGCTGGCGAACCCAAGATCAGCAGGTCGGGGAAGCAGACTCTTGCTTGCAGGCTGAGAAGATTGACGAATTCAGAGATCAACAGGTAAGCTGCTAGCTCAAGTCCCAAGAACCAGAGGTGAGACAAGAGTCAGCTGCTGAGTCTGGAACAAGCCAAAAAACCTTAGCGAGGTGAGCAGGCAGAAAGTAACCAGCAGAAGGCAGAGAGATTAAACTGAGGGGGCGGTGAGCTGCCACAAGTCCCGCCTCCACAAGTAACACTCAGCAGATTCCATCATAGTGGTGATCACATATTAAATCTCAACAGGGAAGTGATCACAATATTATACAACTGCTAAAACACTGAGAATAATGGCCTAGCCAAGTTGGCATACAATCTTAACCATTCAAGCACCTATTATGTGTTGGGTCAACTTGGCACCAAAACCTTTGTGCTCCCCAGCATTCCTTTTAGTAGTACAACTGTGTGGTTGTAGACTGTGGTTGTCAGCTTTCATGTGAGCCCAAGTGATTTTCTACTCCAGGTGTTCATGACCTTGTGTAGTCTCTCCCCACATGAATAAGACTGAGCTGTGGAACCACTGTTGTTGTTGTTCTTGTTAGGTGCCGTTTAGTCACTTCCAGCTCATAACCATTCTATGTACAACAGAAGGAAACACTGCTCTGTCCTGCACCATCCTCACAATCGTTGTTATGCTTGAGCCCATTGTTGCAGCCACTGTGTCTATCCATCTTGTTGAGGGTCTTCCTCTTTTTCGCTGACCCTCTAATTTACCAAGCATGATGTCCTCCAGGACCTGATCCCTCCTGATAACATGTCCAAAGTATGTGAGACATAGGCGTGCCAACCTTGCATCCAAGAAGCATTCTTGTTGTACTTCTTCCAAGACAGATTTGTTTCTTCTTTTGGCAGTCCATGGTACATTCAATATTCTTCGCTAACACTTCAATTTGAAGACGTCAATTCTTTTTTGGTCTTCCATACTCATCGTCCCACTTTCACATGCATATGAGGCAATTGAAAACAGCATGGCTTTGGTCAGGCACACCTTAGTCTTTGAGGTGACATCTTTACTTTCCAACACTTAAAAGAGATCAACTTGGGAAGCAATGTCATCTTAACAATATTAAGTCTCTTGATCCATCAACATGGGATGTATTTCTGGGTTTTTTTTTAGATCTTTAATTTCTTTTACAATGTTTTATACTTTTTAGGGGTATAAGTTTCCCCTTCTTTTAAAATTTTTCCCTATGTATTTTATTATATTTTATGCTATTTAAAATGGAAATGCTTTTTAAATTTCATTTTTGTATTGTTCTTTGCAGTGTATCGAAATATACTTGATTTTTGTAGATTGATCTTGTATCTTGCAACACTGCTGAATACGTGTTACTTCTATTAACTTTTTAGTGGATTCCTTAGGATTTGTATATACAAGATCATGTCAACTGAGAATAGAGATAGTTTTATTCTTTTCCAGTCTGGCTATGGCTATATTTTATTTCTTTTTCTTGTCTAATTGCTATGGTTAGAAACTACAGAGCAATGTTGAATCGAGGTGGTGGGAGTCTGTATTTTTCTTTTCTTGTGATGTGTTTTTCTGGTTTTGATGTCAGGGTAATTCTAGCCTCATAGGATGAGTTAGGAAGTATTCCCTTCTCTTCTACTTTTTGGAAGTGTTTGTAAAGAATTGTTTTTGATTCTTATTTAACTAGAATTAAACATGGAAGCTACATGGTGCTGGGCTTCTCTTGCTGGGTATTATTATTATTATTTTTATTCCTAATTTATTATTTTTTACTAGTTGTAAATCTATTCTGATTTCTTATTTATTCAGTTTTTATCATTCTATGAATTTGTTCATTTTAGCTATCTTGTCTAATTTAGTGGCCTTCAAATAATTCATATTATGCATTTATAGTTCTTTTAATTTTTGTAGTATTGGTAGTAATCTATCCTCTTTCATATCTGATGGTAATAATTTGAGTCTTCTCTCTTTTCTTCTGGGTCAATTTGCTGAAGTTTTCCCAAATTTGATGATCTTTTAAAAGAACCAGGTTTTGACTGAATTTATTTTGTTTATTGTTTTCTAGCCTCTATTTCATTAATTTTTTGGTCTAATCTTTATTATGTCCTTTCTTCTACTTTTTTAATGTGTCTTTTGCTCTTCTTCCAGTGTCTTATGGTAGAAGATTAGGTTATATGTTTGAGAGCTTTCTCATTTTCAATATAAACATTTTTGGCTATAATTTTCCATATAAGCACTATTTTAGGTGCATCCCAATACTTTTGGTCTGTTGCATCTTCATTTTCAATTCATCTCAAAATAATTTCTAATTTCCCTCTTCATTTCTTCCATGAGTGATTATTTAGCAATGTGTTCCCTAATTTCCACATATTTGTGAGTTTCCTAATTTTCCCTCTTTTGTTGATTTCTAATTTCATTCCATTCTTTTCATTACTTTTTTTACTATTATTTATAGAATAGCATGATTAATTAAAGAAGCAGATTATGATCTAGTTTACTCAAAGAGACTCTTGTCCAATTAGTAAAAGACAAAGAGGTCAGGATAGTTAATCATGTTCATTTGGTCAGTGCAATGATGAGGAAGGTGTCACTGTTCTCAGCCACTGGCCTGGAAGCCCGCTTAAGGGTCATAGAGGGAAGGGCTCCTGATTGAGAACCCTAGTCTCTTATTCTTCTGTTTGGTAGAGCAAGTTATAAATGTTCCAGCAATTTCACTAAGATTTCTTTATTCTTTTTTTTCCCTACAGCACTCTTTCCATTTCTTACACAAATTTGTGAAGCATTAAGTATCTTTATGTTTCCAAGAGCTGCTACTGATTTTTTAAAAAAAA